GCTTTTCTTTCCAAGCTCCTTAGACTACGATGACCTGGATGACCGAGAACCTTCACAGACAAGGGGTCTTAGCTAATTATAGACCAATCACCAGCCTTCCTTTTATCCCAAGATTTCCCGAGATTTCTTGATGCTTACTCTGAACTGCATTGCCTTGGCCTCCAGTAACACTGTGAGGAACCTTAGAGTTTTTTAAACAAATGTGTAGGAAATTCAAAACATTTTGTCTTAGAGTGACGCTAAAAAAACTAGTTTATGCATCTATTCGAGGGTGGACTATTGTAACTCAATGTTATCAGGCTGTCCTAAAAACTCCTTGAAAAGCCTCCAGTTGATCCAAAATGCTGCACTTAGAGCTGGAAAACGTCATTCCTAGAAAAAGAAAGCAAATTTCACCCGTAATGGCTTCCCTTCATTGGCCTGTTAAACCCAGAACTTTAAAATCCTTCTCGCATACAAGGTCTTGAATAATGAAGAAGAGAGAGAGCACTTCACTCTCGGACATGTGGTTCATAGGATGTTTAGAAATAAAATGGAAGGCAGAGGCAGACCCCTCTTTGGTGGATTCGGGAGACAGACACTGATTAAGCTTCAAACTTTAACTTTTTAAGAATACAGTCAGGGATGGATCAGGTGACCCAGAGTCCTCCCTTAGTTATGCTGCAATAGACCAAGGCTGCTGAGGGCCTGCCATGATGCTCTGTGATTCACCTGCACTCATTGTGTGTTTACACACCAGTCTGTATTTAATCATTAGTTGTTACTGGTTTCTGCATCTCTTAAACAGTGTATCTTTGTCCTGTCGTCCCCCATCAACCCCAATCAGTCACGACAGATGGCTGCCCCTCCCTGAGCCTGGTTCTCCTGGAGGTTTCTTCCTGGTAAAACTTTGATCCTCCTTCCCACTTTTTACTCATAGGGGGGTCACCGATGAGGAAGCATCTGTTGGGGCTTTGGCAAGTGAGTGGTGTGTGTGTGTAAACACTGGCGTGAAGTACCTTTTTGTCTTTCATGGTTCCATCAGGGTTGAGTCTAAAGCTGCCGACATTGATGGTTTTCTTTGGGTCCACCTGACTGATTGAGTGGTTCAGTTCATCCACGATTGCCTTGCATGCTGGGAAACAGAGGTAAACCTCAGTGATGGAAACAATACAAGCAACAGCTCACAGCCTGGAATTTAGTGAACATCAGTACGTAAGTAACATGAAAAATCATCCAGAATTCAGTCTCATACTGTTGTTTGTGGAAGTGCTACAAGGTCAAAATGCTATGGATGGGAATTGATTCCCGATTTGATTCCCTTATCGATTATCACTGGCTCCACCAGCATCTCTAAGCAGCATATCAACAACGTTACATTCATGCAAATTAATTACATGCTGTGGGTCATATGTTTGTGCATGTTGTAAGTATTTCTCCTCGTTTTTGCATTTATTGTGCACAACACACTGTGCAAGATAAGAAAGACGGGACAGGAGAGGAAGAAGAGAGGTTAGATTAAAAGATGAGGATTGATGCAAGTCCTCATGTTTTTAAATCAGATATTGGGTCTGTACATGTGGAATCGCATCGTCCCTTTTCTTTAGATTCAAGCTGAGTATAATATGAATTTTTAAAAAAGTTTTACAGTTTGTATTCCCATCTACTGATATTATTTTATCATATAAATATTGCATGAGGTTCAGTTAGCTTTGCAAGAAAATAGAAATATCCTCCAAAGAGCGACTTTTCACTTTATTACTTTGAGTACATTTCCGAGCCTGTAGTTTTTATGTTTACTTTAGTAAAGAAGTTGAATCAGCACTTCAACTTTACTGAAGTATTTTTTAACAGTAGTATTTGTACTTAAGCACAGAATGTCTGTACTTCTGCCAACTCTGGAGTTACTTGGTGAGATGCTTTTGCATTGCAGTTCAGTTGTGGTTTTCCTTTATATAGCATCAATATTCTTTGAGACGGAAAGCTTCTGTCAGATCTGCGTGACTTACCAGAACAGTAGAGCACCTTGTCCCTCTTCCCCTGGCTGCTGCCAGTAAAGACAGAGAGCACCATCACCATCATCTGAATAACCCATGCAGTCATCTTGATAGCCTAATAGTACAGAAAGGCATATACAGTAAAAACTAAAATCAAATTTCAGTATACTACACCTAAGTAACAGAGTCTTAAAGTGTGAAGACATTTCAAAAAACACAACATATTGTGTATTAAAAAAAAAAAACCAAACTACATACAATTTAATATGCAAATCATATTTTCAGTAAGTTTAGTGTGCTGATACATTATTGAAGTGTTATTTTACCTCCACATGTACACAACTGAAACTGAGACCTGAAACCTTAAAGAGGGGGGCACTTTGGGAACTTTACGGAGGGATCAACAAGTGCTTTTCCTAAAACGTTACCTGTAGTTGTTGCAGTACAAAGCCCCCGGATGGGCACACGGAAAAGGCAAGCATAAATCCGATCAAACTGTACTTAAATCGAACTATTTATGGACTTAGCGAAAGCCGAATTGTAGGCTCATACAAGTAAAATATTAACAATATTTTCAACGCGTTCTCACCGCTGGGATTTTGATCGCCATACGAGACTCGTCTTAAGACTTCACATTTGTTTACGAGGTACGGTCCACGTCGGGGTTAGTGAGGGAGCGCTGGTAGCTTGTCTTACCTTGCGAGGAAAGCGAGCTATAGCAGCTAACAGCGGACGTGGAGCCGGCTGGACTCGGTGCAGCAGCGCTATTACTACAATAATGACATGTCCTCAGCTCATTTGTCTGTTCATGCCTATCTCTGCTTCACTTACTGACAGGTAACAGCACGGACACATACAGTACAACAGTTAGCTTTCCGGGTGTGCCTTTCAAAGTAAAAGGGCATTGCCCGAAAAATATTCGATATTTAACTATTGTACGGGAATTGCGGTAGTAAAGTTCACACACAAAATAATAATAATTTAAAAAAAAGTCAGAATCTTTGTCTCGAAATAATTATTCAGTATATCTTTATCGTAACAAAAATCACGCGTCAATCTTAAAAGCACACTCGGTCTACTTCTCTTAGTACACCTACTTCCGGCTCGCTTGTCGTCTTGACGTGCTCGGCTCTGGTGTAGCCACGTTCAGTCGGGCATAGAGGTGGACAGCCAATCATATTTCACACTCAAAGAGCATGGACCAATCAAACTGACGCAGCGTCTACAGGCGCTGACTCCTGGACGCTTTGGTAGAATGTGGAAATCGGACTTCAGTGTGCTGCTGACTTTAGTGGTGACTTGTGAATTCATACAAAAATAAATAAACAGTACTGCAATAAATTCAACTACATTCATTTATCCAAACATAAACCATCTCCTGTTACAGTCAATTAAAACTAAATATAATTTAAATAGAATATATTCAACTGTTCAGAAGATATTTACGTGCATGTGACTTTGGAGCTTTCGACTGCAGCGCTATAGAAAATATACCACCACAGTGATATGCTGTGGCCGTAAATACTAACGGATCTGACTGAAGAGCTCCTTCCCCTTCTCTAAACATAACAGCTCAGCTCCATGCTGAGGTTAATCAAGCAACGCATTGTAATTCACTTCCCACCTGTGCATGCGTGAGAGCGCGAGACTAAGAGCCAGGTGGTGTCTTTACGGGGGGATCTGACCTGGTTTTCCTGCTGCTAATTGAATCTTATCTTTAACATCAAAGTCTTGATTGGACAGGTAGATGTAAATGTTCACAGTACAGTATGGCGTGCAGTGGTGATTAAAAGTTGTCTGCCATTGCTAAAAAGGTCAAATATAGTCAAGATATTTGTCAGTGTGCTGCTTAGTATGCTTGCAGAGGCATCGTGTTCTCAGATTGTACAGCCATACATCCGTCTGCACATCTTCATGTTTTAATTTTTAATGTTTAAATGCCGAAAAGATGCTTCAAATAATGTTCCTGCAAGGTTAAAAGTTTAGCTAGAGGTGCCAAATGTGTCATTTTGACTCCTTTGGCATTTTAACATTAGCAAGCAGTAACTTTTACATATAGGCAAGGAGAAACAACAGCACTGTGTAAGAGGAAAGGACAAAGATCGCTTTTTAGTACATTTTAATTAATTGGGGGTTTTTTTGTTTGTGTTTTAAAGGCAAGCACTGCTTGCTTTTCTTGTCCATCATTGCATTTTAAAGTATCTAACTGGGAAATGGAAACGCCATAACTTAACATAAATTCCATTACTTTTCCTAAAATAAGTTTATCAATAGTGAGCTTTGGGGTGTGTGGCATAAAGAGAAAGATATACAAACCTTTACACCTCCAAAGGAGTTATTATGACACCACAGATCGAGTAAAACAACACTCTAGTTACCTAGCAACATGTTATTTACATGTTTTGGCTGCTGTGTGTGTGTTTCAACGATAATTTCTCTATAACTATAACAATATTTTATAAAATTGTATACAATAAGTGATTTTTCTCATGTAAGCACAGGCTTAGCTGCATTGCATATGAAAAAGTTTAAGTAATCCTCTGGCATGAAGTTCACACTCCCTGTATGTCCTCTTAAAGATGGTCATGCCTCCTCTTCTTCAGTCTCTCTTGAGGTCATTGAGCTTGAGACATAAGGTGTTTTTTGCCAACAGGTCTTCAACACACACCATCGAAGTCATGATTCTTGCATCTTATCTGCAGCTGCAAGCCTTTAGACACCAGAATGTCTGCAGGTGTCCATAAGTTACGTTTGCGTTACTTCCACATCTACCTAGCAGTACAGAGGTAGACTTACTGTGTTATTTATTTGTTTCATGCAACATTAATTCATTTTAAAGGTTGCATGAAAATACTCTGATAAACAGGATAATTTGCTGTACTGTGTTGGATTTAAAGTGTGTGTGACTGGTTTTAGCAGCTGTGGTTTCATGGTCAGAGTTAGCTTAAATGAAGTGTTGCAGAGATTAATTTAAAGTTAAGCTGATGATACTGAGATTCATTTACTGAATTCCACCTTCATAACAACTTTATAGAAAAAAAAAGGACAACTCATCAAACATCAGCTGACATCTGGTTGAATCCAGTTGTTGACTTCGGTTGTGTATATCCACAAAGAGGTTAGTTCAAGGTTGTTTATTCGTCATATGCATAGTTACACAAGTATAACACAGTGAAATGTAACCTGACACGCTCCTCAACTTGTGCAAAAACTAAAAAGGTGCATAGTCGGAGCGGAGCGCCCAGGAAGGCGTCTGGATGTGGCCGCGCCATCTTAAAGTAGCTGAATCGCAGCCTGTACACTAAGAAAACTACAATAGAAATTATTGTGAGTTGTGATTGTTTTCTCTACACTGAGCCATTACAAGCGATCCTCCACCTGCTGAAACCCACTTTAACCTCTTCCCTACTCATTTCCCTCTTTAGTGCAAAGTCACCCTCTGCAGTGTAGCAAAATAGAGCTACTGTTTTGCTTTTGTTTGTTTTTAATTTTCCTTCTGTTTCTCTGCTCATGCTCTACTTTACAGATTCAAGTTGAGAGACTGAAATAAAGTTTCCATCTACTAACATTATTTTATTATTACCTTAATATAAGACAAAGTTCAGTTAGCTTTGCTGGTAGAAACATTTTCCAAAGAGTTATTTTTTACTTTTACTCAAGTAAAGAAGTTGAATCAGTACTGTACTTTTTACTGGAGTATTTTTAACACTAATATCTGTACTTCTACTTAAGTCCAGATATTCTGTACATTTGCCACCTCTGGCCATCACTGGAAATGATGGAGCCAAGTATTTGAACACTTATTCCCATGATGCATTGAGTTTTTCCTTTCCAGTCACCTTTCTCACTCACTATGTATTAACAGACCTCTCTGGATTGAATCATATCTGTTATTAACCTCTGTCTCTCTTCCACAGCATGTCTTTATCCTGTCTTCCTTCTCTCACCCCAACCAATCACAGCAGATG